CCCCAAAACCCCAAAACCCCAAAACCCCAAAACCCCATTATCAGAAATTCGCAAATGGATTGATGAATATTATTAATGGTTAATTAATTATTGGTTTATAATAAATCAAATTAAAAAATGAGTTCCTACTTTACAAAACTAGGCTATTTCTTGTTTGGAGTTGGCATTGTAAATCTCTCATCCTACACTACTCTTAAGAACTATCAAGATAAAAATAAGGCAGAGCTAGAAAAGATATTTGAGTAGCACTAAAATGAACTCACAATCAAGAATTTAGATGTTCAACCTCTTAATTTATAAGCATCTGTTTTATGAGGAAGAGGAAAGATAAAAGATTGATGGAATTTTTAACTCTAGCAGTATGCTTGATATAAATATGAATAGTGATAATTAAGAATAAAATTAAACAAGATTAAGAACTATATATTAATTAGAGTCATTTGCTTTCTATAAGGTTTCTATCTCAGTAATTCATCATTATTTATTCTCAGTAGTTGCTGCCAAAGATACTTTTGTTTTGCATATTGCTGCCTTGGCTGTAGTTCATTCGATCGAGATTCACAGCTCCTGTCTAGCCCCCTCTAAATCTTTGCTAGGGAGAACCGTAGTTAGATGAATTCTACATAAAGGAGCTTTGCTTATTAGGGAATTAGGGTCTAATGACATTTGATGATCTGACGCTGCTAGTTCCATAGTTTGGTCCACCTTAGAAGATACTTCTATCACCTGAGCCACCATAAGGACCAGGCCTTCTGCCCTCTCTGAACTATTGTTATCTTCTATTCTTTGATGGCCATCTGCAGTTCCAAATATCGCTAATCATGTCCTAATGAAAATATTAAAATAAATGTGTTACCCCTGCATCGAAGCCAAATATGGTAGTCATAACAAACAAGAATACAACGAAGCATAAGATGGGAATGCCGATGTATGAGATTAGTTGATTACCCTCTCTGTCATATTATGTTCTCTCAGTTCTCTCAGTTGGTTTCTAAGCCTGATGATCACCAGTTGAGAATAAATTCTTTAATCCTGATAAGACACCGTCTTCATCAGAGCTGCTAGAGTATTTATATTGCTAGGTATCTCCCTCTCTGCTTTGGAAGATGACTGGAATTACAGTTCTGATACCAGTTGTAGGGTGAGTAAGAATAATGTTTGAAGTGAAGTCATGTGTGATCTCCCTAGGGACAGTTATATGTAGCTGATATTCAGTGCTTTCCTCATCAGTCTTGTTTACTCTGTATCTTACAAGGTCATAGCCAATGTCTGAGTCTCTCTGATTCTCAATGTGCACATTAAAGTGAGTGTTAGAGTAGATCTTAATTGAAGAAGTTCTGTGATCTTTGTTTAGAGAAACTCCATTTCTGTAGTAGCTTTCAATCTTAATCTTGCTCACAAATGGTACCTCAAAGCTCATTATTCTTTCCCTATAAAGAGCAGACTTGATGTCGTCTGGCTTTGATGGGTGTGGTGCGAAAACAGTCAGGTAAATTTTCGTGCTTCTTGGAATTTACTTTTAGCTTGAACCTCTAAAGCTCAAAACACAGAAGAATCCTTCTAGCTCATTGATCTCAGCTCTTGCCTCAACAAGTTAAGGATGCTCACTCTCGCAAAGAATTCCAACATTTTACTTGATAAGAGTGATTCCATCGAACTGGACTGTTGGTGTGAGTTCTTCAATTTGATCATGAAGGAATAACTTAAATCTGATTCTAAGGTCTCTGGTTTATTCATCAGTGTTAATAACTAAGAGCTTTCTACTTTGATCGTCAACTTCAGCATGCTTTACTCTGCTGACCTATGCAATACTTGCAGCGCTAATGTGATTACTAAGTAGAATTTCGGCTCTACCTTCAGATAGGCCTCTTGCCTCACCTGTAGCTTAATTAATATCTAGTACTGATGGATTGTTTGATGACCAGACAGTTGATGAATCTTTCTTGGCAGAGTAATCGGCTGAGTTTGAATCCATAATTTTAAAGGTAACTTGCCCTCCAACATGAAGTTGAACTGGCGAGTATGGCTTAACAACACTTGAGACTCTTACTCTATATACGTCATATATGTGTGGTTGCTTGACTAGATAAATAATAACATTGCATTCTCCACTTCCCTCAGCCCTCATAATGACTGTTTGATTATATTGATCTAGCTGGGCAGATACCACTCTTGGGTGAGAAAGCTCGATGCCAACTTCGATTCCCTCGATATTTTTGGCAAATGAATGAGCATGCTCATTCTGGAACTTGATTGGAATGTTCATTGTAGACCCTAGAGGGAAACTCAAAGCTTGGTAAGCATCCTTGCAAGCCATATTATAAATGTCTGTAATAAAGACGTTAAGCATGACCACTTAATCTGAGAAGGCTTGATTCTCTTCAATGATAACTGTGACTTTACCATATTTGTCAAAGGTCTTGATTGCTTCATCATTAATCAGAGTGATGATTGGAGTAGTTGAGTCTTTATACTGGTAAGTATTTGTGGAATAATCATATACACTCTGCTGGCTGTAACCTAATCTAAGTCTGGTTCTCTTGTTAGTTTCGATCTTAGTGAATGCATTTGGAGGTAGTAAGTAAAGATGAGTTTGCTTCTCTTGATTGTTGATATATTCAGGTACATCTACTGTGAGTTTCTCATTTACTCTGACAATAATCTTAGTGCCAAACCAGTTCTTATCGTACTTATACTTTTGTGGATATTCAATGGCCAACTATAAGGAAACGAGCGCCTCACCTTGCTTTCCACCGATCGAATAAATGGTGGAGGAATTGAATGTGGTCAAGAACACTGCATCATTGTAGTTCTACTCATTATCTCTAATCTTTTTCTGAGCCATGATTAAGGTAGTGGTAAGCACCTGAGATTATTTGATATCTGCCTTAGAGGGTATATTTAGCGATAAGATGTTTGGGTTAGAGCAGTTCCAGTTATAAGAGATTGGAGCTATACCGTGTGTGAAAGTCTCCTGGAAGTATTTAAGGATGCCTATCATCTTGATCATACTTCCTGAGTAAACAGTTCTCTAGTTGTTGTAAGGTATCTCAATGTCAGTTACTAATCTTACTCTGATTGGAATTGTCTTCTTTGAGACTATAGATCTCTTCTCTGTACCTTAAGATCCTGATTTCAATTGAATGACTTCATAGTAAAGTCTTGTATCTCCTACTTCAAGACCAGTTACTTCTCTAAATACATCAACACTGGCTACTGTCTTGTTCTCTATGTCAAATTTAATTTCAACTGAGCCTCCATGATAAGATTAAGTGCTAGCACTTCTGCTTGGACCACCAACAATTTGCAATGTATATCTCATTAGCGGGGTAAGTAGTAGTGTGTTTGGATGAATTTAAAGCAATGGGAATACTTCAATCTTTAGTACATCACTTACCACTCTCATTCTATCGTAATAATCTTCTCTGTGTGGGATATTTGGATTTCTATATTTGTTTGACACTGCAGTAACTTGATAAAGACCAGGTTCTTGTCCTTTGGCTTCGAAAATTCTATTGTTTGAGGAGTTTTGGATAGCAATCAAACCTTTCTCTCTTTATTAAGTAATTTCTATTTCAATATGGAACTTCATAAACTTATACTGATCATCATCAAATGGTCTGCCATAGTTATCAATTGCTGTAATATTTAGTTCCATTGATGAGCCTTGCTCAATGAGAGTACCTGGAGCATCTAATTCAAGTCTCATTATATCTGAAATGAGCATCTCTGCCACTGCAATCTCAGCATCTGGAAGTTCAATATCCTCTACTCTGATTTCTATAGGACCTTCTTTCTTTGGATAGATAGTGATCCATCTATCACCTTCAATATGATGTCTGTCTGCAAGATCAGTATTGTTTAGACTAACACTAAAGTGACCCGAACCATGGAGAATTTTGAATTTGAATGAATTTTCAGATGCAATATACAGTGATTTATATTTGGGTTGTATATCTACGTTTTAAACAACCTCTATTCTCATTCTATCCTTAATTGGGTAATCCAAATTAAGTGACTCAGTATCAAGGGTTTAAGAACTGAATGAGAATGAATATCCTTTATCTCCTCTGAGATATCTTTTGATATAGCCTTCAGATTAAGCATTGATGTATAAAGTACCAGTATAGTTGAAGACTTCAACTCTTCTCTTGTCATAGATCAAATCTTTAACTTATTCATCATAGTTTTCCTTCAAAGGGTAAACCTCAAGCAAAGTATGGTTAGTTGATGCGTAGTCAATCAGTATGCTGCTATGATTATAGAATACATTATTTGTGTTATCAAACATCAGTGATCTTATGAAGTGTCTACTGTTAACGAGAACGAAATGGTTTTTCTCCCCATTAATAAGCTTATGTCTAGGCAAGTGCTTATAAACTTGGGGATTCATGTTCTTTTCTTCCTGAGCCCAGTAAAGCTTGACTTCTTTTGGGGGCTCACAGTGAATCACAATAACCAATTAATGAACAGCAGGTCTAAGTAGATATCTTGTTTGAATATTTCTTTGTGTAAGGACAACTCTAAATCTATGTGGTCTAGTTAGTCTATATTTATCACCAGGATATTGGCATGCTAGCGCGTATTTGAAAAGTGTAGCTTATTCTTGAATGTTTTCAAACTACAAAACTGACTTGTCAAGGGAATTATCGTCAAGATAGAGCTCATGGAACTCAGTTACAAGATATTTCTCTGGAATATCTTTCCAGAAGTTCGTACCTCCTTAAACAATCCATTATGCTGAAGAACCGAAAGCAATATCATATACATTTTCTTCGTACATCTTATGGAAACTTTAGTCGTCAGTTGTAACCACTTGATTTTTAGTGTAGAGATCTGTAAAGAAATTTTTATATGAAGGATGAAGAGTTGTCAATTTATAGTAAGAAGCAATTTCTGCATAATTACTCTCAATAAGTCTTGAATGCTGATTTGATACATAATTTGAAAAATAAGCTTTGACTCTGCCAAGTCCCTCAGCGATTCCCATTACTTTTTATCTTTGACAGATTCCAAAGTTATTGTGGAATAGTAAAACCTCTCTGTTGATATTAAGTTCTTTTAGGTTTTTAGCTTAACTTAAAATCATAGCATTTGGATTTTCATCAAAAGTTTACCTTACAAGCATGATATCTTTATTCTATGAGACATAATTAGTAATGGCTTCATAGGTATTATTTGTTGCTACGGGAAGAAGAATGCCCTCTCCTTTAACCTCGAATTATGTCAATACTGATGTACAATTAGTGAATTTTCTTCCTTGCTGGTCTAAGGCAATAATACTAAGAAAGTTCTCCTCAACATCTTTCTCAATTTCAATGTGATCTTCAAGCCATGTAAGCCCAAAAACTGGGGTAACCTCCACATTAATACTCTTCTTATTTCTTGAATTCAAGTTATCTCTCACAATTATCTGAGTGGTGCCTATTTCTTTGGATCTAACTAAGCCAGAGCCAGAAATTGAAGCAACATGAGTATCAATGATTGACCATGAATAGAAACCTGATCCACCTGCAGCAGTAAGTTGCCATAATTCACCACTTCTAGATTCTTCTTGATTCTTAAGTAATGGAAGTAGAACTAAGTCAGTTGGGTGAATAATTGAAACTGGCAAGGTGATTTTCACCTCTTTTTCACTTCTCAACCTGTTTTAACTATAAGTAAAATATGATTAACTAAATTGTGCTTACTCTACATGGTATTTATATCCAGCAATTTCAGATTTGATATCTTGAAGAATAGATACTACTTGGAGTCTTTAATCTTTTTAAGTATGAAGCTTTGCTCTAACAATGAATTCAGAATTAATTTTGTTAAGTCTTATGATATCGAAGTGGTTTCTGTCAAGTATGTTATTGAATACTAGATTCTCAGTGAGATGAATTGGCTATTTATCTCTATCGAATAAGAATACCTTCATTAGGTAATAATTACCTTCAACAAGAATCCAATTACTATCCCAATCCTTAATTCCAAGTTATTCTGTGAAACTTTTAGAGAAATCATCAGTCAGGACAATTCTTTCATCAACCATTTCTTGAGTCACATCAACAATTTCAATGTCCAATAGATGTGGAAATACGATGTTAACAGAACCATCTGCAGTGTTATTTGCGATAAATTAATCTACAACTAACAAATTCACAAATCCTTCTTTATCCTTGCTGAAGAATAAACCATCTTCTCCAACATCTGCTTTTTATTCAGCATCGATATTCCATTGATATTATCTGCTAGGCAACGCGATAGGGAAGAACTGCATATCATTATTCTTTAAACTGACTTTGGCTAGCTTGAATTGGAACTTGCTGGTAGGCAATAGATAGACAGTCTTTTGAGGAATAACAACGAATGGTTCGGTAATTGTTAAAGTCACATGTGCTGCTAATACCTCTTCGTACCCTTGTTCCATAATTCTAACTGACACAGTAGCCATACCAGTTCTGAGACCCTTCAAGAAAAGAACATCTGAGTGAAGCTTAGAAAACTCCATTTCTCTCTTAATTTCAGATTGCTTATGTGATGCTTCCTTTGTAGTAACCATCTTGACTATATCAGTGCCTGAATCGATGTTCCATTCGAATCTGAAACCCTCCAGACTGTTAAAGATATTTCCTTCTTCATCATATGCCTATTGATTTAGAGAATTAATGTATATTTACAGCAATATGGAGATGTTCATAGTCGTCTACATAGAATTATTTTAAGTGAGTCAGAATCTGGAGCTTTCTGATGATACCAAGCTTAGCTTCACATCTTAGGACCTATCCAGAATCTAGATACGCATTAACAACATGAAATTTTTACTCTTATCTCTTGCTTAAATCCAAATCAAAGATTTGCTTGGCTTTTGTGAGACAGCCGATAATTCTGCAATATTGGCACAATCAGGATACCCTTTAGCTTAGATTGGCTGTATTTGAATCAAATTAGGATGAGAGACTTCCCTATATTCATTTATTAAACCTTCATGTCTATAATTACCATTAAAAGCATCCATTGATAGCTGAAATGTTGTGGGCAACTTTCCTGCAGTCAGTGCAATGACTAATCGGTAGTAGCATGTTAATGTCAGAAATCTGTTTATTTCCTTGACCAAAGATGTGTTCTCTCTCATTGGCATCATAAAATCCACTTGAGTTTACAAGCGAAGATAGGAAAAGCACTAAGGCAGAAACCATTACTAGTTTCGCCTGAGATCGTTAATCTCTCGATATTTAGTAATAGCGCATTTTTAAGGCTTTACTTTAGAATTTTTGAGTTTATTAATTATTAAAGAAATTACTTGATCAATATACAGCTATATGCATATTTAGAGATTAATATATGGATGTAAATTTATAATTAAGCAAAATGTTAAAGCAAATTAGAAATATATATGTTCATATTCCATTTTGTAACAAGAAGTGCTCATATTGTGACTTTCCTGTTTATGCTCTTGGTCATTAAACTAATTTACTACATAAATAGAATATCAAGGATCAATACATTGATTATCTAAACAAAGAGATTAAGTATTAATTCAATCAAGCAAGATAAGATTTAGGCAAAATTTAGACATTGTATTTTGGAGGTGGGACTCCCAGTTTGCTTTCTCCATTCCAATTAGAAAGTATATTGAATTAAATAAAAAGTGGCGCTACGATTGATGAGAAGTGTGAAATAACTATTGAAATAGATCCAGGGACATTTGATTAATAGAAATTGAATGCCTTCAAGGATCTTGGAGTTAGCAGATTAAGCATGGGAGTACAGACCTTAAATGAAAAGGAATTTAATAAGTTGGGAAGAGGACACAATTTCAAAGATATACTTGCTTCGATAGAATAAATAAAGAAGTCTAATTTTAAGGATGACCAAGTATCAATAGATCTAATGATGGGGCTTCCAGATTAAACTTTAGAAAGCTATGAAAAATCGTTAAGATAAACTATAGAGTATGGGTTTGGGCATCAGAGTTTTTACATATTGACTCTAGAGGAGAACACTCCCTTTCATAAAAAATATATAAACAATTAGAAAGAACTGCCTATAACTGATTAAGTGGCTAATATGTATGAACTTACTCACGATATTTTGACAGAGTAGGGATTTATTCACTATGAGGTATCAAATTATGCTAGAAATTTAGAGCTTAGATCGAAGCACAATCTTATGTACTGGGAAGGTGATTAAGAATACTTATCATTTGGATGTGGCGCTGCATCCTATTATTAATCAATGAGATTTAGTAGACCAAGAACACTTGCAAAATATTATCAATATGTAGATAAGTTACTAGTCGGCAGTAATTAATATTATGTGCAAAACTCTGAGTATGAGTCTTAATATGACACGCTTTAAACAATAGTAATGTGTCAGCTTAGAAAAAGTGAGGGACTTGATTTGAAGAAGATAGACTTATATACAGATGGAAGAAATGGTTATAAAAGTTAATTGATTATTGACATTCAAAATAAATACGGGGATCAAGTTTCACAATATTTTACTTAGCTTGATGAAAATAGAATAGCTTTTAGCGTTCAAGGATTTCTAGTTAGTAATACACTGATTTCTGATATTTAATTGATCCTAGATAATATATTCTTAAAGAATACTTGATTATAATTTGAATTTAGCGAAAATGTTTACAGGGGTTTTGGGGTTTTGGGGTTTTGGGG